ACCTTATCCTGGCCCATCCACCTTATCCTGGCCCATCCACCTTATCCTGATCCATCCACCTTATCCTCCCTCATCCAGTTATCTGCATCGCCGTCGCCGCGCCCTTTCGAAGAGTCCTCTTGGCGTCAACCTTTCCCGTCGGAAGCGTCTGCCCTCAGATTGCAGCGCGCGGGGCCACTTTGCCTCTGTTGATAAACAAATTATGGCGCGGACCGTTTTAGAATTTTATGGCGCGGGGAAGCGGGGTCAGGCCACTTCAATGGCCGATTTCTGTTGTCCCACTTTCAGTTCCATTCATTTTCGAAAATGGTTTTGGATTGATATGCACCTTCTTTGTCCATCTGTCTCTCTGTAGAGAATGTCTGTGTGTGTGTGTATACATATATATATATATATATATATATATATATATATATATATATATATATATATATATATATATACATATATATATATATATATATATATATATATATATATATATATATATACATATATATATCTATCTATCTATCTATCTATCTATCTATCTATCTATCTATATATATATATATATATATATATATATATATATATATATATATATATGTGCGTGCGTGTGTGTGTGTTTGTGTGTGTGTGTGTGTCTATCTATCTATCTATCTATCTATCTATCTATCTATCTATCTATCTATCTATCTATCTATCTATCTATCTATCTATATATATATATATATATATATATATATATATATATATATATATATATATATATATACACACACACACACACACACACACACACACACACATATATATATATATATATATATATATATATATATATATATATATATATATATATATATATATATATACACACATTATATATACATATATGCATATATATTACATGCGAATATCCTCTAATATAAAGTTTGTGTTTATCATAGCCAACACTTTAGCAGATGAGTCCCTCCCTCTCCTTCTCTCTCTCTCTTTTTACCGTCTTCTCTCCTTACTATTTCTTTCAGGCTCACGCGATGCTCCCGCCCCGCTTCATTCATGAGTCAGCATCCTAGTATAGCGTCGTATTTACATTTAAGCGTTATATTTGCGCTTGGGAGTCAGTGATTTACGAGAGGGCGTGGGGAGGACCTCGCGAGTGGAGGGGAGTGCTGTTTACGTCTGTCTGATTGGTGTTTTTGTTTCTATTTTCTAGATATTCTTTCCTGTTTTTTTTTTCTATTCGTTTCATATTTTCTCCTTTCCTCCCTGTTTTTTCTCTTTCGTTTTTATGTTTAAATTTTCGTTTTTCATTTTTTTTTCTTTTTTTTCGTTTTTCATGTTGCCAGTTTTTCCTGATCTTTAGTTTTTTGTTTTCCCTTTTTTTCCGCTTTTCTGTCTGCCTATTTTTTTTCCTTTCTTTTTCTTCCCATCCCCATATTTTCCTATTCTCTTCTCCTTCTTCCTCTTTTCTCCTCTTTCTTTCCCATCTTTTTATATTCATCACTGAGCGTCAGAGTCAGCTTTGATTAGATGACAGGCATTTTACATCTGTACATTGAGTGAAAAGGACCTTTGGAAAACGTGACTGAAGGCGGGCATAATCCCTCGCGCCGTATGCATATCATTCGGGAGGCGGATCGTCTTAGTGAAACGCCCTATAGTTGTACCATGATCCCTGTAGCGCTAATAATGATGATGATGATGATGACGACGATTATGATGATGATGAAGATGATGAAGATAATGATGATGATTATAATGATAATGACAATATTGATAATGATGATTATGATGATAACGATGATAATGAAAGTGATTTTATAAAACCTATTATAACACACTGTCTCATCCACTCTTCACATTGCTGATTATCAGTAATTTCTTTCTTTCTCTCTTTCTCTCTCTCTCTCTGTCGCTCTCTGTCTGCCTGTCTGTTTGTCTGTTTCTCCCCCCTCCCCCCCCCTCTCTCTCTCTTCTCTCTCTCTCTCTCTCTCTCTCTCTCTCTCTCTCTCTCTCTCTCTCTCTCTCTCTCTCTCTCTCTCTCTCTCTCTCTCTCTCTCTCTCTCTCTCTTTCTATCTATCTATCTATCTATCTATCTGTCTGTCTATCTATCTATCTATCTATCTATCTATCTATCTATATATATATCCTTCTCCCTCCCCCCCTCTCTCTCCAATGTATACATGTTTGTATAAATGCATGCATCCATATGCATTCATGTGTATGCATATGTATACATACACAGTACACAGGACAAGCCAACTAAATGGACAAACATTTCAGTCTAAATTTTCATACCTTAAGACCCCACAAGTAAGCAAGAAACAGAGAGAGGGAGAGAGAGAGAGAGAGAGAGAGAGAGAGAGAGAGAGAGAGAGAGAGAGAGAGAGAGAGAGAGAGAGAGAGAGAGAGAGAGAGAGAGAGAGAGAGAGAGAGAGAAGAGAGAGAGAGAGAGAGAGAGAGAGAGAGAGAGAGAGAGAGAGAGAGAGAGAGAGAGAGAGAAGAGAGAGAGAGAGAGAGAGAGAGAGAGAGAGAGAGAGAGAGAGAGAGAGAGAGAGAGAGAACACGAGATGCAAGATAAAAGATGGGCGTAAAAAGCCTGATGATACGTTTCGTGACGCACATAATGATCGAGAAGATAATTCGCGAGATAGAACAGCAGCGAAATGAAAACAACTTTGGTGACGAAAACAGAGATGAAAATGTTTCTGAGAAAAGAAATAAAAAAAGAAAAAGTAAGAAAGAAAGAAAGAAATGTAAAAAGACAAATTATTGTTTGTTTGTATAATATGATGGAATGAAATGAGTGATTAGATAGATAGATGAAATGACAAATAAAGTTTGATTATCATGATTATGGGTACGGTGATAGTGATGGTAATGACGATGGTAAAAAACGATGTTGTTATTATTACTATCATTATTATCATTAGGATAATGATTTTATTATCACCATTATTATTATCATTAGTAATAGTAGTATTAATGATACTGTTATAATCATATTATGACTATCATAAAATGATCACAATGAAATTATTGTTATTATCATTATTGTTATCATTATTATCATTATTAATATTATTATTATTATTATTGTTATTATTATTATTATTATTATTATTATTATTATCATTATTATCATTATTATCATTATCATTATTATTATCATTATTATTATTATTATTATTATCATTATTATTATTATTTTCATTATTATCATTATATTGTTATTACTTTTATTACTATGATGATTATGATGATGATGATAATGATAATCATATTAATAATATTCATTATTATTATTATCATTACTATAATTATTATTATTATTATTGTTATTATTACCATCATTATTATTAAATAATGATTTACGTTGATAAATGGAAACCGAATGACATTGATGGACGACTTGAACAGGTAAACTATCCAATAGATCAATAAATAGTGAGAGAACCCAATAAAGATATGGATAAACACAAATAAATTAATCATATCCTTTCCTTCCCGGAGTTCGCCCCCTCCCCCCCGGCTCGTCAGACGGCGCCAGGAACCTCGTCAGTAATAAAGGCTGACAAGACACCCTGGTTGGGTATCGCCAGTCGACACCCTGCTCTCTGGGACTATCTCGCGTGCTCGCCTCCCCCCCCTCCCCCCGCGCCGACGAGTGCCTGAGCCTGACCAGATCACCTCCTCTCTCTCTCTCTCTCTCTCTCTCTCTCTCTCTCTCTCTCTCTCTCTCTCTCTCTCTCTCTCTCTCTCTCTCTCTCTCTCTCTCTCTTTCTCTCTTTCTCTCTCCCTCCCTCCCTCTCTCTCTCTCTCCTCTCTCTCTCTCTCTCTCTCTCTCTCTCTCTCTCTCTCTCTCTCTCTCTCTCTCTCTCTCTCTCTCTTTTTCTCTCTCTCTCTCTCTTTCTCTCTCTTACTCACTCATACCCCCACCTCTCTCTCTCTCTCTCTCTCTTTCTCTCTTTCTCTCTCCCTCCCCCCCCCTCTCTCTCTCTCTCTCTCTCTCTCTCTCTCTCTCTCTCTCTCTCTCTCTCTCTCTCTCTCTCTCTCTCTCTCTTTCTCTCTCTTACTCACTCATACCCCCACCTCTCTCTCTCTCTTGCCCTCGTTTTCGATGAGGCAGCCCTTCGAATGCCACGTAGCATGGTCGGGGGAATGTAGCATAATTGCCGGTATGCATCTTTATGAGCTGTGTGCACGAAAATATGTGTGGGAAGTGGAGGGAAAGAATTCATAGGCTTGCAGGAAATACTCACTTTCCCACGTGTATGTAACTCAAGATGCTTCTATGTGCACTTAAATGTGTAGGTGTAATTGTTTTCCTGTTTTTCGACATCCTGAGTCACACATCATACCCTTAACTATATCTGGTATCCTTATTCTGTTAGCTTTGAGCAATAGTTCATTCTTTTCTGTGTCATTGATTCTCACATGGGTATTTGAGTATCGTCGTTTTTATATATTTTTGGATGTGGAATCGAGAGTCTAAATAAGAGCTCTGAGACGCTTAGTGAAGTTTTCTTTTCTTGGTGTTATTGTGTTATCAGTTAAAGAGTGGGGCTCTATGGTTTACTGGCATACATAAGTTTCAGTGCTCTCTGGTTATACAGTGATTTATTAAAAGTTATTTGTGGGATGGTGTTTACGAAGAATACAAATCCCCAGGTCTTTACAGTTTGTATTTTACTGTCAGTGTTATGTCATCAAAATATCATTTTTCAGACCAATTATATGCTTATCATGAGTGTACATGCTATGTATATTTTCCTTCCCTCCTTTTATTCGTATATGTATTCTTTATGTTTTATTGTAAAAGTAATGATAAGTTATATCTACAGTATTTTTTTCTTTTAGATATATGTAATAATGATTGTGATAAAAATGCTACCGATAATGATAACAGAAGCAACAATGTAGCAATTGCTACTATTGTAATGATAGTGACGATTACCATTACCAGCAGGGATAATATGATTACTAATGACATTCCGTCTTCTTCCCCCAGGCGGCTCTCGCGCAGTGACCGAGCAGCGGCACCAACAAACGGCCCTCACAGACTGACCCTCCAGGGGGCGACCCCGGCTCCTGTGCCTTCCTGAACGTGCCTTCACTGCCTGCGACTCCCCAGTGCCTTACAGTGCCTCTCAATTAGTATTTCTTAGCGTGGTAGTGTTAGTAAATATCCACACGTACATCGCATCACCGCCGAGAGTGCGAGAGAGCGAAGATGGCTTGGCTTAGCACCGAGTTCTACTACTACAAGGGCAGCGCCCCCTGCCGCGCCGTCTGGATGACCCTGAAGATGCTGAAGGTCGAGTACGAGGACAAGCAAGTGGATCTCCTGAAGGCGGAGAACAAGCGACCGTGGTTTGTGCGGGTGAGTCTTCGAGCCAAGGGGAAGAGGAGGGAGTGGGGGCAAGGGAAAGGGGAGGAGAGGGAAAAAGGGGAAGGAGGGGAAAGGAGGAAAGAGAGGAAAAGCAAAGAGGGAAAGGGGAGTGGGAGAAGAGGGAGGAGGAGGAAAGAGAGAAAGGGGAAGGAGGGGAAAAGGGAAGGGAAAGAAAAGGGAAAGAAGGTAAGAGGAGGGAGGGAAAAATAGGGGAAGGGAAAGGAATCCATATCTCTCCATGAAGTGAAGTTCATGGGTATTTACTGTGCCACATGAGATGCCTCCGTCCATGTTCTGATGCGCTTATGTGGTAAGGTCACCTCACTTTTACGGACGTCATGCATCAGGGCAAATCATGCATATGTATGGATGTCGCAATCTGTGCGATGCCAGGCCTTCACCGCGTGATATCATTATGCAGTGATATCACGGTAAGTGTGATGATGTCTTGATCTAAGGATAGTGTCACTCATCTTATAACACCACAAGTGGACCGGACTGCAGTGTTGTCAGAGGCACACTCATCACACCGATTGAGATAACCATAAAGCGAGCGTGAGTCAAGGAGGGGAGGAGGGGAGGAGGGGAAAGGGGGAGGGGAAATGCACTTAGGTAGAGGGGAGGGGGGGAGGGGAGAGATGCACTGGGTATGAAAGTAAATAATCTCGTAGAATGTGTTAGTGACATAGAGTTTTATGTAGGATTTTTGAACTAGTTATTTGGCTTAGGCAATGTTTTCTGTAGACATATAACATATAAGGCTGTATGTATGTATGCATGTATGTATGTATGTATGTATGTATGTATATATTAATATACATATATACAAATATATATACACACACACACACACACACACACACACACACACACACACACACACACACACACACACACACACACATATATATATATATATATATATATATATATATATATATATATATATATATATATATATATAAATATATATATATATTTGTCTGTGTGTTTGTTTGTTTATATATATATATATATATATATATATATATATATATATATATATATATATATATATATATATATGTATATGTATATATATATGTATATGTATATATATATATATATATATATATATATATATATATATATATATATATGTATATATATATATATATATATATATATATATATATATATATATATATATATATATATATATATATATATACATATATATATACATATATATATACATATATATATATATATATATATACATATATATATATATATATATATATATATATATATATATATATATATATATATATATATATATATTTGTGTGTGTGTTTGTTTGTTTATATATATATATATATATATATATATATATATATATATATATATATATATATATATATGTATATATATATATATGTATATATATATGTATATATATATGTATATATATATATATATATATATATATATATATATATAT